ACTTCAATTAGCACAATATTTTCAAGGCTCATCTATATTGAAGCATTTGCCAGTGCTTCATTTCTTTTTATTGCCCCCAAAAGTTTACTATGGCAAAAGAGACCAGGATATGCCTCCTTTGTATCTGAAGGATTGCTGTGTAAAGACAGTTAAAGAAGTTAAGGAGGGGAAAAAGAAAAGCTCCCTCCTCCTTCCTGTTTCCCTAATAGGAAGGCGAAGATGTACCCTTCCCTTCTCTTCTAGAAATGACAGAAACTCATCACTGGAGATGCCTGTAGGTCCTTCCTTGAGAGTCCAGCCAGAGGAAGTTACATACCAAGGTTAGTAACCCAGTCTTACTACTCCAAGTCCACAGATGCTTCCCTCTGTCTTGCTACTTCCCTGATAAAAGTTGATTTTTAAATTTGGTATACAAGAAACTGGAAATACATTTCCCTTTCAGAGTTTCATTTAACACACTGATGTCTAGCTTTATTCATGTTAGTAGACCTCCACAATCTGTTGTTCTTGGTTGATGATGCTGACTGGGCCAGCAGTCTGCATTATATTTGCTTGGGTTTATCCTGGGCACTGTGAGTCTCATGTGTTGGTGAATTTTATTCATTAATTCTGTCTTTTGTTATATGAGTCTGTCCAGCTACAGACCTAGGAATGCTGGCAGGGAAAATGTTTCCTTCCTCCATGGCTGGATTTTCCTTTCCAAATTCATCATCTGGTAAACACTGCTTTTGTTGTTGTTGTTGTTGTTTTGCCATTTATTTTGGGTCTACTTTCAACATTGCTGCTATAGACATTCATTTACAGGGCATTATGTGGCAAGCATTTTTATTTCTCTTGGATATATATCTAGGGGCAGAAACGCCATGTCATATAGTAGCTTGATATTAAAATTTTGTATAAATGCTACACTGTTTCCAAATGTCTGCATTTTACCCAACATCAGTAAGTTTGAATGTTTCAGTTTCTTCCTACCCTCATAACACCTATTATTTATTTTATTATCTGTCTTAGTATATGGGAAGTGGTACCCTGTCATGTTTTTGATGTACATTATTGAGCAAATATTCAAGTGTTCATTTTCATTGGAATATCTTCTTCTAGTAACTATCTGATTAGGTCATTTGTATGTATTATTTTTAATTAGGTTGTCATGCCAGGAGAACCCTTTTATAGACACAATTTCCTATATTATAGATGATCCCTTATAGAATACAAGGCTCTCCACTATCTACATAAGTTCCTATATTATGGATATGAGTCCTATATTGTATCTACAAGCCCCTGTTCTATAGATATAAGTCCTGTCTATCCTATAAGTCTATATTGTAGATACAAGTCCTTGTATTATAGACACAAGTCTTCATACTATACTTGAGTCTTCTATATCACACATACAAATTCCTAAATTACAGTCATCAGTCTCTGTAACACACAATACATTACAGTTATCAGTCTCTTGAAAGAAATATGATTTGTAATCATATTCTCCTGTCTGTAGATTTTTCTAAATAGAAATTCATGTTTAAGAATATTTTTCAGGGATTAAAGATTTCAGGAGTTGAGCACTTTCTTCTGGATTTGTTCCAATGTGGGAAGATTGATGCTCATGGCACACTGTAAAGTGAGTGCACAGGGACAGGAAAGTACTGAGGGTAGCGTGCTCGATGAACACAGGTAAACTCATGAACACACATGTATACTTGCTCTCAGTTTATATCACTCTTCTGGCTTGTGCCCCTCAGCTAGCCTTGCAAAGAAGTATTCATTTCAGGCCTCAAAGGTCCCTGAGGAGCTGTGAAGGATTAGGAAGGTGTGCCTGCATCCTCATGTTCTTTCGCCTGCCATGTGGGAGTCTGCAGGGTTTTCACGGGAAGAAGCCGTCTTACCTTCTGCTCTATATGCCTGAGACTCCAGACAGAGGGAGAAAGAAAGCTGTATTTTCAGCTTGGTATTGGCTCTGGGGCATTTTTGCTGGTCCTGGGTATTTGTGTTATGGATGCTCATTTGGAGTTCATTCAGGGAAGACTTTCTTCACAGTCCTGATCTTATTGTAGTTCCCTCAGCATGGTTCCCTGGCTCACTAATTAAACACAAAGCTATAGTGGGATAGACTTGAGGCTGAGAGGGAGGCAGGCTGTATATCCCTGTTTTCAGATCAACTGAATTTACTGCAGAGATCTGAGGACTGATAGATGGTCCTAGCCTGGCTGCCTGTGCTTGCACATTATTTACACCAGTCTATTTTGCAAGTGAAGTTTGATATAATCCTTTCTATATCCTGAGTGTTGAATCATAAAAAATGAACTGAGTGATTAAAAAATAGGAAGAATCAAAAGACATCTAGGAGAGACTGCAGTGGAAACACAAAAATCAAGAAGGACTTTGCATGAAAGAGACACGCTGGGCTAAGAAAGAACAAAGAGCGGCAAGGCTCGCCTTACTCTGTAATGGAATATAATCAACATTCTAGCATTACATAGGCAGAACTGCCTGCCAGCTAGGGTTACTCAGATCACTTTCCCTCCTGTGTACTCTACTGAGGTGGTTGTGGCGTACACATGGTATAGTATGGATATTATATACATATGGCTATGTAACTATTGGAACATCCATAGAGATTTTGGGACAGTAGATACCCCTACCAGAGAAAATGGAAGGGGAATTTAAAAAAAAAACATAGCAGAAGCTGGAGAATGTCTCAGACGTTAAGAGCACTTGCTGAGCACTCGGGAAAACTGGAGATGATATTCTAGCATTCACTCAACAAGCCCAGCTCCAAAAGAGAGTAGAGACAGGAAGATGGCTGGGATTTGCTAACTGCTAGCCTGGCTAAGAAAACATGATCCTCACATTCTGGAAGAGTGGCAGAAAAGGACAGCTAATGCCTTCTGGTCTCAGTGTGTGGGGAGCACATACTCACACACACATGCATAGATGCTTACACAGACAAGGACACATTCACACAATTTCTTTTTTAAATTAAAAGATTGAGGGAATATCTAAGTATATTCAGGTTGCTAGAACAAAATATCCCAAATTGGGTAAACTATAAATAGAAATTTGTTGCTCAAAGTTCTAGAGGGTGGAGGGGTTAAGTTTCAGCATTAGATACTTCAGTGTCTAGTGAGGACCCATTTCCTTTAGTTACATGAAAGAAGGGATATTAAACTCCTTTGACCTTTGTGTGGGCACTAATGCCATTCCTGAGGATCTTACCCTCGTGAGAGTCACCAGATCTGAAAATCCCTTCCCTTAATGCCACTCTACTGGAGGCTAAGGTAGGGAGAGTGTTACAAATATTTGGAGAGACTTACCATGAACACAAGGACTTGGCATAGTTTGGAGAAAATATTTTGCATCTCTAAGATGCCATCTATCCTATCACAGAACATTCATGCAGTGTGTTCTTTTCTCCACAAATGTAGGCACTTTCACTATTGCTTATATGACACAAAGAAAGGAAGTTGTCCAACAGTTGGTTTCATGTTGCAGGGCTAACTGACCCTGTTCTAGATATGAGGAGGCAGGCCAGTGGTGTTTACATGACTGTGTACTGGGAGGGAGTTAGCCATTTCACTTGTGTTCCTTCAAGAATCTCATGAACGGTGTCACAGCTTCCAGGTTATCGAGTCATCTGCATCACTGCTCAGAATCAGACCATGTCTGTTATCATTTTAGGTCATTTTTTAAATCAGCAATTTGTGTTCTTATTCACCAGTTCTGATTGATTGAGGGCTGTTGCCTGGAAGGATGAGTAGAAAGAACCTGAGTTCTGCTCAGTTATTCTGTCCGATGCTGGTGGAATGGGGTATTGGCTTCTAATACAGACCCCACACATGGTAGAATGAATGGATTTCTATGGTCTATATTTTGAAGGACTTAATTATAGATTCTGCAAGTGGGCAACTTTGTACAATACTTCTTACAGAATGATTCTTTCTCCTCCTGTTTCTGCTCCAAGTATTCCAGCCAGTGGAGTCTCTTAATTCCCTTCCAATCCCTGCCTACCTCCTTTATTCTGCAAAAGGATTCCTTTCATAAAATGACATTCTCCTCCTGAATGAGAAATAGTGGTGTGGAATGCAAAGAAATCTCTTTCCAGTGTGAGTGTCCAGTAAAGGAATCAGTGGCAGGATGGTGGACTCCAGCCAAGGACAGCACAGCTTTGCTCACTGTAGTTGTGATGTCAGCACCAGTGCTGTTCTGACACATATATGGAAACACTGAACCAATTCACACAGCGAGACGTAGGCTGATACTTTAATTTTATCAATGGCAAGTATTTCTCAAGCTTTTATCTGTGTTTACATTTTTAATTTTCAGGATTAGATTGGTGAATTTAAAACTTTGATTTTCTTTTACATATCAAAACCCCTTTTTACTTTCTTTTGCAAATTATAGCTATAGTGTTCTTATTCATATCTTTTAAAAAAAGATTGATTTATATATATTATCTATGTATGTATGTATGTATGTATGTATGTATGTATGTATGTATGTATATGAGCACCCTGTTGCTGACACACCACAAGAAGGCATTGGATCCAATTACACACGGTGTGGGCCACCACGTGGTTTCTGGGAATTGAACTTATGACCTCTGAAAGAGCAGTCAGTGCTCTTTACAGCTGAGCTGTCTCTCCAACCCCTCCCATGTCTTTTTTATTCTCTCTCTCTCTCTCTCTCTCTCTCTCTCCCCCTCCCTCCCTCCCCC